GTACAGCCTCTTTGGAAGTCAGCTTACTGATGTGGATCAAACAATTTCCATATCAATATTAAGGTGCTTTGGCAGTTTCTTACAAAACTTTAACGTACTCTTACTGTGGGATCCAGCATCCTGTTCCTTGGTATTTAACAAAAGGAATTGAACACTTACGTCCACACAAAAATTTGCATGTGGATGTTTGAGGTGGCTTGATTCATAATTGCCAAAGCTTGGAAACAAACAACCACTCACATTTATTATAAGACTTCTCTCTCTGGTTTAAATACGTAAGTGAAATTTTCAGTGAGATTTTATGACAATAATTTAAAGAGCTTTGAAAACAGTATAGTATCCTTGCAACTCCCTCCCTACAAAACAAACAAACAAAAACAACAACAACAAAAACAAACCAACTTCTTACCTCTTTGCCTATCATGTACCTTTAATAGGTAAGTTGATTATTTTCAAAAGCGGTAAATGTATGAACATATGATTTATTTTACATAGAGTGATTTAACAGGGAACTGACTTTGTTTTTGTTTTCCTTTATGGAACAGCCATTTCCTGATTGTGTACCTTGTCTCTGTCACTACTAGAATATAAAGAACATAAAGGTTTAAGTTAGTTCTTGCAAGAAAGAAGCTCACCATCGACTTATATTTTTATCCAAGCAACCACAAAATGACAATTGCTTTTAAAAGTAAGGACTATCACTTCAATAAATAAAAGAGCTCCCACAGAGAAATCATAGGAAGGCATTCAGAATCAACCTTTAAATTCATTACATCTTTGCTAACCTAGGTCACTCCATCACATGGCAGGTGAATATAGAGATCTAATCAATGGAGGGGAGCCACTTGGGGAGCTATTGAACTCAAATAAAATACTTTCCCTCCTGGAAATCTGTTTTACTATTTCCTGTGAAAGCACAGGATGGAATGTTTTTATAAATGTAATCTATAATGGAATTTCACAACCTGAGGTGGTTTCTGTCCTCTCTCCCCTAGTCCACAGACAGTTAGACAGCATCCGGGGAGATTTTGGTTATCACCACTATTGCCATCTACTGGTGCTATTGCCATCACGTGCGTCAAGGCCAGGAAGCTGCTAAACATTTTCCAATGTACAAGGCAGTGCTGACCACAGTTACCTGCCCCAGATACCTAAAGTGCCTGGGTTAAGAAACCTTTCTATAAAGGAAGACTTTCCCACCCCCAACAAATCCCCTGAACATCTCATCTTAGTTCTCACAGTGACCCGCAAATCATCACTATAAGTCAGCTTAATTTGATAAGGTGCTCCAAGCTTAAACTAGCTTAATTAAATAGAAAATCAATTATGGCCCGAGTTAAGGAGTTATCATCCATATGTCCTGTTTATAAGAGCCTCCTGACTGACTCTTTCAGGAATTACAAAGTTACCTCATTAGTTCTTCCCATTAGATCCTGAGACCCATTTGCCTAAAATTCCCTGTGCCTAGACAGTGATAGCATGAACAAATGTTCCTGGGTTTACTCCCTCAGCATCAGAAAACAAATGTGAACTTAGAGTCTAAATTTTCCCCCTTATAATAATCTCATTCGCACCGTGGAATAAAAATCAAACTAATGAAACTAACTTTATCTTTTTAACAACACTGAGATCACGGGACTTGAAAAACAAGGGTGTAAACCAAGCTACATAATGGCATAGTCAATTATTACAATCAGGCTCCACCTTTCTCCTTCCAAACTCACTCCATACCGGTTATCACATTTCTTCAAATATTGGAAACCAAGCTTTGAAAACAAAGTAAAGGTCCAAGACTCAAAGGAAGTAGTAATTCATTCCAATGTCAGTTCCTCAAAAATGATGATGAAGGAACCATCCTATTACACCCACTAGAAAGTTCAAACAATGCTGTTATCTAGTCCTGATACTTAAAAACAAATTATACTAAGGAGCTATGTGCTAACTAGGTGGGGAGGTTTTCTTTCTTTCTTTCATATTCTTGTTTTTATTTTATTATTCTTAGAAGGAGCCAAGATTGCCAGGATTTTAATCTGTTCTGGGAAGAAATCTAGGATCTCAAAACCCTGTAAAATCCTCTGAAATATATTCCCTTGGAGAGGTGGGGAGGGAAGAAGACAGTCGGAGAAATTTTAAACACCGTTTTCCTCCCTTCAACAGCAAAAGTACTGTAGTTACAGCCCCACGTATATGTAAATAAGCTCTCCACTAGCCCACATATCTATTGATAAACTCGGTTTAGTTATTGCTTCCCTTTGTGTTTTGTGAGAGTTAAGTGCTTTGCGATCAGTGAATGGAAGTTGAAAAAACAACAACAACAACAACTAGAAATAAAGAAAATAAACTCTTTGCCTTTAAATAGAAGTGGTTCTAGTTTCCTTTGACAAGCCTGTGGGTTGTTGTACATATTAAAACCGCTGCATAGCTCCATCCCTGGTCACAGAAATCCCAGCTCCCTCCTCCTTCCTCCCAGAAGATGTCAGATCTCTGGGAAACAGCAGTTACAAAAGGATGCTTTTCATAGCTTCTACTAGAAAACGCTGGCACCCCGTTCCCACATAAAACAGAGTTAAACCGAGGCAGAACGCCGGAAGCTGTGTCTTCTGCTTCTCTTCAAACGGATCTCAGTTATTTCTAGAGAGAATTCTAAAAAACGTGGCATAATTTCGCCCATGTACATGACATGATGATGTTTCTAATCCCCCGTTTGCCCTAGATAATTTTAAGCTTTATCCATCAGTGTACCACACCAGAAAGAAAGAAAGAAGGAAAAAAAAAAAAGCAGTTAACAAGATGACAGTGTTATTTGGCATTTGGCATCGATATTAGCAGGAGTCTCTCATTTGACAGCTATTTCCCCAGCACCAGACTGCAAGGAGAATGTTTCCATTCATCCGCAAATGACTAACATTTTATTGATGTTTCAAAATGCGGTTGAACACCATTGCGCTCTCCACATCCGAGCTGGGTTTGAGAGTTAGGCTGGAATACTAATAACATCAGTAACTCCTGCTGCAAACGCTTTGGTTAATTGCCAAGCCTTGGAGTGTCGGTTCAGCATCAGCGAGGTGGTGCCGGTTAGGGGCTCTCCCATCAGCCAGTGGAGTGGTCACCGGTGATGGGAACCCTTCCCTTTCTCAACAGATTCTCGTGCACCGCGATAAAAACCGCTCTGAGCGCCGCCACCGCCAAGCAAAACGACCCCCCGCCCGCCTCGTAAAGAGCAGGGTCTGGGGAGGCGGCCGGATGCTGACCCCTGCAGAGACTATTGCTTCTGCTCGCCTTGCCAGGGGACCCTGCTGGCTTCATGGAAAACGAGTTAGGGACCTGTGAGGCTTTTATTTATCTCTTCCAAGAAGAACTAGATCAGGCGAAGAACCTCTTTAAAGCCTGCTTCGGGAGGCTAGGGGCGGAGGAAGGAAAGGAGGAATGGGGTGCTGAGCGTGTTTTTTAATTACTCTCTTAGTTTCTCCCCTCCGCTTCCCAGCTTGGCTTTCCACACTCCTCACTGAAGCAGAATGATTGGCGTAACTGCTATTGACTGCAGCCTCGGGCTCTCTCTCTCTCTCTCTCTCTCTCTCTCTCTCTCTCTCTCTCTCTCTCTCTCTCTCCCTCCCTCCCTCCCTCCCTCTCTCTTTTTCTCTCTCTTCTCTCTCTCTCAATGATCTGCAAACAATCCGGAATAGCAAAAGGTTCTTAAAGATGGAAATGCAATCAAGAAGGGAAGAAGGAGAAAATGAAGGGGGCGGCCCCATGCCCAGCACTCCACTCCGCCGTGGGCCAGGACGGCGGCTCGCAGCCCCTGGGCGAGTGGCTTAGGGGCTGCGGCGGGGAGGACGGGGGAGTGTGAAGGGGGGATGAAGGAGGCCAGGGTCTCGGTTCTGCCCCCGGAGCAGGAAGCCTGTCCCTGCTGGTTTGGAGGCTGTGAAACATACAATCCTGTGACTCCTTAAACCGAGAACCCTGCTGCCCTGCCTGGACACAGACGCGCTGCGCTGATCATCTCGCCTGATGGGCTCAAACGGGTTAAACGGCCTCTTACATAACGGGACGACGGCCGGGCTCCACACAATTAAAGCACGGGATTGTAGTCTCTCTTTTCCCGGCACTGCGTCCAGCACTGCCCTCCCGGCCCCGCTCAGTGCGCCTGCGTGCAGAGCGCGCGCGCGGGCCCCGCGTGCACGATGGGCGCGCGCACAGGAGCACGCGCAGAGCATGCACTCACATCCATCCACACACTCTGTACTTTCATCACACACACACACACACACACACACACACACACACACGCACACACACTTTATTGTCAACACACTCGGGGGAGGGAGGCGTCCTCCAAACCATATTGACTGACCCGGGAGGCACTCCAGCTGCTGCTCTGCAAAGCCTCGCCTGCACCTCCCGCTCCTCCTCTCCTAAAGCAGCCCCACCCACCCTCGGCCCCTGCCCAATTCCGAAAAGAGGTAAAGTGTGAACTAGTCGGCTGCTCGTTCCCCTTAGCACAGCCGCCCGGGAGAGGGTGGAAACAAACACACAAGAAACAAACAAATGCTCCCAGTCCCAGGCGTCATGATGGCGCCGGCCACAACTCGGAGGACTCGAAAGTTGCGGTGCCTCAGGGGAAAGCCAGGCTCTCCTCCACTCTCTCTCCTCCTCCTCGGCCCGACACGGGGACTTTTTCTAGCAAAGCGGTGCCCATGCCAGGAAGGGAAAGCCGTCTGTCTAGTATGCATCTCTCTTTTCCCCCGCAGTCTGCATCATTGTGATATACCACCTCCTGATAGATATTTTCATTTTCTTTCTTTTCCCCCCCACCTTCATTCATTTCCCCCCCCCCCCCCCCCCCCGGCCCTCCTGGTTGCATCCTCCAATCCCCGGGCGGGGTTGCTAAGGAAACGGCCGCTTGGCAACGCGCGCGCGAGCCGGGGGCCGCCGGCCGCCCTGCGCCCCGCGCCGCCTGCGCCGCCGCTGCTGCCGCCGCCGCGGCGATTGCAGCCGCCGCCGCTCGCCCAGCCTCCGCCTCCGCCTTCCGCGCTCCTCCCTCCCTCGCCGGGGCGCTCGCCTCCTCGCTAGATGGTGTGCGAGCCGCCCGAGCATCACACACACACTCCGGGCTCGGCCCAAAGCAACCGGGAGGAGGTGTAGCGCGGTGCCAGGGGGTGGGAGGGGAGGGAGGGAGGGACCGCGCAGAGGAAAAGGAGGGGAGGCGAAAAAGAGACAGGGAAACAACACCCAACAACTAGACAGGGGGAAAAAGAAAGAAAGAAAAGAAACCCACCCATCCATACACACACAATTAAAAAAAAAAAAAAAAAAAGGAAAAGAGAAAAAAAAAGGGAAAAAAAAAAAAAAAACCCTGTGGCGCGCCGCCTGGTTCCCGGGAAGACGCCAGCGCCAGGGGGTGGGGAGCGCGCGGAAAGCTTCTGGAGAGCGAACAGCCCTCGCAGGGATGGACATGATGCTGTTGGTGCAGGGCGCTTGTTGCTCGAACCAGTGGCTGGCGGCGGTGCTCCTCAGCCTGTGCTGCCTCCTGCCCTCCTGCCTCCCGGCCGGACAGAGCGTGGACTTCCCCTGGGCGGCCGTGGACAACATGATGGTCAGAAAAGGGGACACGGCGGTGCTTAGGTAGGAGGAACGGCGTGCTTTTCGTACTTGTCTCTCCGTCTGTCTTTCTCTCTCTCCACCTTTTTCTTTTTCTCTTTTTTTCTTTTATTTGCCTTCCTGTTTAAACCAAGTAATAACGCTGAGGGGGATCATTATCCAGAGCCACATCTCCAGACGTGCAGGTGCTGATGCTGCCCCAGCCCCGGCCCCAGGACGCCGGGGCAGGGGGTGAGCTGGGCGCTGGGGGGGGAAAGCACTTTGCCCGGACGCCCAGCAGCCCCGGGAGGAGTGGGGTGTGCGGGTGAAGGAGGGGCAGGTGGGACTTTGAAACTCAGTGCACGAAATCTCTGTTGTACTGTCATCGGGTACTCGTGGAGAGTCTGACAAGTTTATCAGGTTTGTTTCTGTCTGACTCCAGTCTAAGCGACTTTTTGAAACTGCTGGCTCCCAGCTCACACTTATTTTCCCCTCTCGGTTGGACACTTGGGCTCGATTTCTCCCTCTTCAGCTTTCTTTCCTTTGACAGCTTTTACCCTTTTTTCCCCCTCCCTTCTCTTCGTTTTTTCCCCATTTTCCCCATCCTCTTCTTACTCTCCCCCCCATCCATTGCCTCTTTCCTCCCCTTTTTCTGTTTTCTCTCCATTCTTTCATTCTCTTCCGATTTTATCCTCAATTTTCTCTTTTTTTAGTCACCTTCATTCTAATTCTGCATTCTCTTATTTAACCCCATTTCCCCTACCCTTCACCCCACCCGCTCCCTGTTTTTGTTCCTCCTCGGCGTTCCTGTTCTGTGATCTCCTCAGTCCCATTTCCTCTCTCGTTCCCTTTCCCTGCCACATACACATGCCTCTTCCTTCTAACACAGTCCAGTACAGCTTCTTTCTTTATTTCTTTTCTTTTCTTTTTTTTTATTTCCACTCTGGCAGATCTCTTTTTCTTAAGCACACTCCTTCACATACTCTCTGCTTCACATCTCCACACACATCGGCTCTTCCATGGTCTAACAACCACTTTCACATTCAGATTCTCTTTTACTGTTTAAAAGGCACACACTTCGTTACTGCTCCACATGCTGTCACTCACACATGTGTACAACCTCTCTCTCTCTCTCTCTCTCTCTCTCTCTCTCTCTCTCTCTCTCTCTCTCTCTCTCTCTCTCTCGTTTTCTCTATCTCCTCTTCTCTCTTCCCTCCCTCCTTCAATTTTCAGTTGTACTTCTTTTTCTCACTCTCCCTTCTCCCAGCTTTTCCCCTAAGCTTGAACATTGAAATGTTTTGTCATTAATGAACATCTATAGCCTGATGCTACCGCTAAGCACCACTGTGGAGTGAGCTTCTAGGTACCTTTTCTCTCTTGTGAAAATATAAATGGATGATCAGCAGTACTTAGATCTAAACAAGGCTAAACACCCTTATTCCTTCTTTCCCCATCGCCCTCCCTTCTCCCTCCCCACACCCCCACCTGATGTACACCTCAGATCTCCCTGAAAGATCTCCTTTCTCTCCACTGGGTGGTAGTTGGCTTCTAAGAGTGGATTGCACAAAATAAGTATACATGGCATGGCTAAGTGAAAGAGTGGGATATGTTTCTGTTTGGATCATGTCACATGTTTTAAATGTAATGATCTGGGATCTGGGTGTGGTGTATGACTTACAGCTTCTGAAACATGCTTAGGAGTCCAAATTTGTGTGGTATACTATTATAGTATCTAATATAAACTAGTAATGTGCTTTTATACTATATCTTCTTATATTTGCTGTGAACAGAGAAAGCCACTGGTGTATATAATAGTAATGCATACTTTAAAAAAATATATATATATAACCTTGTAAAATACCTTTTCATTGTTGGTAAAAGCCATGAATTCTTTGTCACATAGAGGTTATAAATTAAGCCCATATTTATGTTCTTTATATTAAGTTTGTTTTAAAAGTTTGAACAATAGTGGTAAGGATGACACACTATTTTCAGAGGCTGTAAACATGTATAATGGGAGTTATAATCTATACATTTGTAGAAGCATATTGCTTATTTGTAATGATAATTAATATTTTTAAACTAAAGGTTTTTCTAGACTGCTTGTCTTTTGAGGATACATCTTGGCATGTTGCCTCTAATGGATAACCAATTAAACACTATGGCTAATTAAAATAGCTGAACCCACGTTTTGCTTCTAGGAGACCTATGGCTGTTTTGCTCACTGCTTCGTTACTAAAGCTTCTCTAACTAGTGGGGAAGATACCTTCCCAGTGCTGTTGGTGTGGTGCATCCCTTGCTTACTTATATGGCTGCACTGTACCTCACCCCCTCCTGCTTTTCCTGTGTCCTGACTTTGCAATATATTATTTTAGGAAACTTTTGACTTTTAATATTTTTTAAACAGACTAGAATCTCTGTCTTTTCTAAGTGATATTTCTAATTATATTGTGTTTAAAAAATAAATAAATAATCTTTTTTTTTTTTGTCATATGCAATAGAAATCTGAGCTGCATTACTTTTTATCCAAAGTAATTTGCTTATACTAACTCTATAATTCTCTATGGAGCACAACCCTGCCCTCCCCCCCCCCCTTTTTTTTACCTTTTTACCTTTTTTTTTTTTTTTTTTACATCATCCATGGATTTTTAACTACTTTAGCATATATAATTACAAGAAATTCTCAGTTATTTTTCTTTACTTCTCTCCTGCAATTGGTATTGACTCTGTACATAGACTGAACTTAAAGACTAATTGAGTGTAAGTCAGGTGACATATTTTTCATCAAAAGTAATGTTTATGGTATGTTTTGGCTTTGCATATTTAGAATTGTCTTTGTTGTTATTCTGGAACTCATTAGAAAACAAAATAAAACAAACAAAATTTACCCTCAAATATTGATGCCCCCCCCAATTAAAGTACAGAAATCTAATGCTCAAGATAATATTTTACTGAATTGCATCATATCATTTATTAAGTTTTACACAATGTACTCCATTTTTCATCTAACACAGCCCTCAAGGTGTTTCCAATAAAAAGCAAAGAGTGGCATAACAGTTATCAAATATCTTTAAGAGCCAAAGGCCTGAAAGTGCAAACATGTCAGTCAGTGACTCTGTTGCTTGTGGTTACATTAATGAAACAGAAGTTTAAAGGTCAGATGTTACATTTTTATCTCCAAAATGCCACAATATCTGTTTAAAGAAAAAATGAAAACAAAAAAACCAAAACTTTCCTTAACTCCACTACCTATATCTATAATTTGTAAACCATCTTCTCTGTTTAGCCTAAATAGAAGACTTATGAAATTTCATTTACTAATTTCAGCATTCTTATCATTTTACTTTTGTATTTTAAAGTTAGTAAAACAATACATTAAATGTCAAAATGTCCATTTCTTCTAATAATGTTATGCACTGATAACTCTCTGAAGGATTCACTTGAGCTATTTGGACCTCCTTGATAAAGTATTTAATGATGCATCTATTCAATAGTGTAACATTTGGTATCTCTTAAACTTTGAATTCAAATGAATGCATAGATATCTAGAATATATTGTCATTTGTTACAAGCACAAATGCAACATTAATTAATGTCTTAAAAAGTGACTGATATAAAACACTAATACATATAAATAATATTTATATGTATTACTTAACAAAACTTGTTAAACTGTATATGGAGAAATTCACTTTTTCTCTAGTCTTCATGTTGAGTTTTGCAGTATGTAGAAGTTTTGAGTTAATATTTCATGGGGCCACATAGCAAAGGACAGAAGATGATAGAACCATATTGATCACACTTCAGAATCTAGTATTTCTAGATGTGGAAAATCAAGGAGAACATAACTCATCTCTGTATAAGTTTCTAAATTTCAGATTACTTTTTAAAATATATATATTTTATTGATTTTTTACAGAGAGGAAGGGAGAGAGATAGAGAGCTAGAAACGTCGATGAGAGAGAAACATTGACCAGCTGCCTCTTGCACACCCCCTACTGGGGATGTGCCCACAACCAATGTATATGCCCTTGACCAGAATCGAACCTGGGACCTTTCAGTCTGCAGACCAACACTCTACCACTGAGCCAAACCAGATTCGGCTCAGATTACTTTTTAAATATAGTTTTACAGTTGTGTTAATGTGAATAGATTATTTTATTCTTACCTTATTAACAAACACAGTTATATAAACATGTCCAAAATGTTTAATATTCTTTGGAACAATATAAGGAATATTATCATTTACATCCTGACAGTGTCTGAACATTTTAAAAAACACATATCATTGTAAGGCAATTATTTACATATGTTTCTACTTCAACTCGTCTGTATGACTTTTGCACATTTTAGATCACCTTCCTGATATGAACTCAAAATATTCTCTTCTGTGCTTGTTATGCTTTAATCAAAGGAAAGGAGAGTCTTTTCTTAAATGTGACATATTTTACATGAGCAAAGTTGAAGACAACTCTATTAATGTAGTTGATTAAAATGGAACTTATATGAGATCCTAATATGATATTGTAAAAGGAGGAAACTTTTGCTTAACACGAAAACATAGAGCACATTTCAACATAAGGCACATCCATTGGAAGATACAAAACCTTTATACGTGGACTTATAACTGGGTATAACAAGTATTTATTACTCTTCAGCCTATTTGTCCTATACATTTGACTTTAAGTTATATTAATTTATTTTATTTGGATGCAAGAAAGTAAATGATTTATGTATGAGAATGGAGAATTACCAATAGCAATAGAGATCAATTATGCTGTACTTTCAAAATATTATTGAAAAGTCTCATATTATCTATTGAGTCATCCTTACACATTCCAGGTACATTTTCAAGTATATAGATATTTTAATTTTGAAACATTAAAGCATTATTTAAAAACCTATATGCTCATTAATTAGTGCCACTGAACAAGTATATTTAAAATATTGATTTTTTCCCTTCTTTAAAAAAAGAAGGGGTGATAAATTGCCATACTGAGTCAATTGGAAAAATGTGTTTCAGAATATGGAATGAATTACTACAA